AAAAATATTTTCATATACAAATGATAAAACAGTGATAAAATGATTTTTTTGAATTCGTTTTTAAGTATTAACAAAATATATTTCTAAATTTTTATATTGCAAATTTAAAGTTATTTATTAAATTTCAGATAAAATTAATTGTGATATTTTTTTTTGTTTTATACTACATGTATACACTGCATATACGTATAATAAATAATCAGAAAATTGGATTTCATATTTTTAGATATTAGATAGCATATAAGATTTACAAAAGTAAATTTGAAAATAATCAAGTCTCGAAAAGTTTGCTTGTTAATAAATGTTAATTTAAGATATAAAATTCATAATATAATATTTTATTTAATAATAAGCTAAATATAATAGATACGAATTCCAATAAAATTCCTTGTTTAAAAAATACTTGTAATACTCACGCGACACTTTATTTTTGTTTGCAAAGAAAATGAAAAAAAAAACATAAACAATAACATTATAAAATAATTAATAAATAGATAAATAGAATAGATAAAGCGGAATCGATCAATGATTTTTTTAATAATGCGCAAATTTCATATAATCATAAAAAAATTTTTTTTTGTTTTTTTTTAATATGTACAGTAATATGAATTTAACTCTTTTAATTATATAATTTAAATTGTATCAAAAATATTTCGAGATGATTTTACACAATACACAACAACTGTTAGCAAATAGTAATTCCCTCTTATCATGAAATTGCTTATGGATTGAGTCATCGCACACAGTATGTTCTAGAGGTGCTTTATGGAATTCCGGTTGGAACCTGATAGAAATTTTTGACGGGAAATACAGCAGGTTTCGATTGCAACATAGCATTCATATGTCAAACCCACTATTTTTGGATTGAAAAAAAAAACAAATCCTAGTTGTGCGCCCATCACATTATTAATAAAAAATTTCAAACAAATAAATAATTAAATGGAAATTACAATGCAAACGTTTTTATTTATAAATATAGTAAATGGATTAATTGAATAAAAGTTTTGTGTATCAGATAAGGGATGATAGGTAAGAACCCGGGGTGATAGTGGATTTCGTGTATTAATAAAAATACTGTACATTGTAACAATATTTATGGAAATAATGATTATTTGTTTTATCTGTTTATTTTTATGTTTTGTAATATGATACACAATGCGTACTAGATTTTGGTCGAGACTTAAAATCCACGACTTTCTATCCAGCGTAAATTCCTACCTACTAGTACCTCCACGGATCACATGTTATCACAAAAATTTAAACGTAAATTATTATCAATGCTAAATGCTATTTTTTTTTAAAGTTTTCTTGTCGAGTTCCAAATTATGTAGAATAAAATTAAAGAAACAACATAAGCCATATTCGGAATTGATTTTTGCATGTAATAGATCTTGCATAAATATTGTCAATATAATTAAAAAAACCAGAGTAAAGTAAAAAACAACACACTTGCAAAAAATTTCCTCTTCACGTTGCTGCTGCATTGGTACAAATCAGGTCTAGCTTATGTTGTATTTGAATGAGCACCTGTGAAGTTGTAAAATCTTGCAGTAAGCAACATTTTCGTTTCACCACAGCATGCTTGCCTACGTTACGAATGTCATTCGGTCTCTGCATAATTCCAGCTGCAGTAAATTAAGATATAACACAAATCCCATCGTAGAACCATAGATTAGGATATTTATCCTTATTTGCAATACAAGGGGGTGTGAATTAAAATATATATTCACATACCGATCGTAAAAGGAAGTCGAAACTACAATAGCGATAGAGGTGTTCGGAAAACAGATCTCGTGATACTGTTATTACGTGAGAAATTAAATGTCAAATGCACAGTATATACTGTGCCGTATTATTCTTTTGATTCTTTTGACACGAAAGCAAGATGCAGGAATTTTAGAAAATCCGACAAATTAATTATTGATCCAATTTTTAATTAAAAGGTCATATTGGATACAGCATTTATTACATACGAAGCTCAAAGCTCATTATTGAATGACAAAATTCGAAATGCATAAACTATTCATGCATATACCGAGACAGAAACGCTTCCTGACACATGAATGCAGTTGTACGTACACATAGCATAAAAAAAAAATTTTTTTTTTGCTTTTCTGTGCGAAGAAAAATCATTAAAATAATCCATGATGTTACTTTTAATTTCAATGTTTAAAATATTATGTTTTGAATAAATAAACGAAATAGTCGGATAACTATTTATTATTTTTACCATTAGGAATTAGGTAAATGTTGGTTAAGATATTTGCGTGGCTTATGGTACTAAACGATGCATTTGAATGTTTTTTAAACTGGAAAAATATTCATAAATAAAAGATCGAAAAATAAAAATAAAAATAAAAAAAATAATAATAATAACGGAATTTATAAATTATAGGTGTTTATTTAATGAAATACGGGGGTTCCGATTTGATTTAGCATTATTTTGATGATCTTGAAATCATAAACATGTGTTCGATTCTACCGTATCTCTAACGGAGAAACGTTTAGATAATCTTTCAAAAACCTGTATGCACAGTATAGGTTGATAGTCAAACGACTAGATTACCTAGTAATATAGATATTCCTTTTTTGAATTTGTAAAATGTTATCATGAATTACAGTATGTACACTGTAGAGTCTGCGTGCATTATCACGAATTGTATTTTGTAACTCGATTTTATTCGCGAGTAGTGTTATTGGAATCGGATTTGTCGACTGATTCTGCAAAGCAATCAAATGCCAATGATTGATTTCTTTAAGATTTCCGCTCGATTTTAATACATCGAATTTCGCGCGAAATAAATTTCCACTAACTTGTAATGATAATGACGCTATAAACAGATTGGTGTTTATTATAACTATAAATAAATAAATAAACCCTGTCAATAGGTTATCTGATTAAATAATGAAACCATCGATTTTGTTATCACACGTGGTATGTTTAATTGGTAAATAAATGAACCGCTTTTTAAAATTTAGGGGTGATCATGTTGGGATTGAAAAAAAATTTTTTTATTATCATAATATTATTTAAATCTTATATAATTTTTTTTGGTTGAATTATTTTAATGTTTTATATATCACTAAATAAATCAAAATTTTTTATTGAAATAAATAAGTAAATAAAAAAATTTTTTTAATATTTGATTAAATAATATATTTGTCACAGCATTTTAATTAGTACTTTAAGTATTATCACGTGATGAACCCGATTCGATGTTTCCTTTAAAGATTAATAAACGCAGTAGCAATCGGATTTGCGATTATAATAATAATAATTATTATTATTGTTCAGTTAGTTATCGATAACATATTTGAACAATCATATCGTCTGTAACGACATAATTTATCTGCTAAATATTGCCTAGCAGAAGCAGAAGCTATCGCTCACTCTACAAACCCACCATTCTAATTTACTATAACAGGTTTTGTGAAACAATTAAACGAGGCATAAAACTTGAGAAAAATCTTTCCAGCGACAAGTCATAAAATCGATTGGAACACCCTGTTATGTCACACGTTGAAGTGATGATGCTCAGGATAAAGGAATATACAACATCAGAATGATATAATCAGTGAACAGAAGAAGTTAAAGAAACGTATTGGAAGTTGACATGGCTTATTAAAGCGAGATCAATCAAAATCGGATGTTGACAGATACGCAGTAACGCGTGATTCGATTTCAACCAAAGATAGATTTTTGCATATATGCTAACCTCGAATGCGTTTGACAACCGTATGTTTAATTATTTACCAGGTCCAACCTTCCAAAATCATGATTATGTTATGCACTTTAAAATACAACGAACAATAGGATTTCTCTTATTAATAGGAGAAATGGTACATGAACTTACGATAAACTAGTTTACAATGAAAAAAACATTTGGTTAAATGTTTACAATTTGCAAATTTTATTTATTTTAAAAAAACTTTTTTTTTTTCTTTTTACAAAATAATAATCAAATTTTAAACAAATCATCGTGTTTTATTTATCCAATCGTTTATTCGTTAACTATATGCCCAGAAAACTATTACAACATTGTTTTGATAAAAGTAGATTATTGTCATACCGAATTTTGATTTTTATTTTGATCGAAATAAATATGATAGGTCACGAATGATTGGATTTTTGCAGACTTCTAAAATAAACCTATCATGGATTAATTGCTTCTTGGTGATTATTGACACTTTTAAATCGCTTTCTGTAAATAGATACTGCATATATTCTTTAAAAAAAAATTTTTTTTTTTTTTATAGTTAAAGAATACGTCTATTCTTCATGTATTAAGACTGTGCTGTGTACAATATATTAAAAAAAAATTTTTTTTTAAAGTCGAAAGAGATTCAAATAGTTCCCGTTATTTAAGAGAAACTTTTTTTCCCCCGTTAAATCTTGTGTAAAAAACGTTTATGAAGTCAGGGGTTCAGATATCTAATCTGCCGCCTTTCGACAAAATGCGTTGTGTAACAATCAGACGTGTAATTTCGAGGACTTGTAGCATCTCTTTTATTGATTTTATTGATGTATCTTTTCTTGCCCGCATTCTTCGGGCTATGTTTACAGTACATAAATGCAAAGACATAAGCTATTGTGTCGTAATATTGGCTGCGCATTGCGTATCATCTACCCCTTAGGGATTGTAAGTGGTGGCATCTTGGCACCATGAATTCTTTTCATCTTTTTCGGATTTTTGAAACGAAAAAATTTTTATTATCTTAAATTAGAAACTTTATGGATGCATATATGATATGATATCGCTATCGAAAAAATACACAATTTACTTTTTATAAATTACTACTTACAAATGATATAGTCTATATGGGATGATGTAATTAGATTTGTTTGTAAACTTTGATCACATATTATGTAAACACGTCGATCACTAACGTTCTGAAGTTTTCGTATCACCGATAATGGTGGTGAATGCATGCATGCAATACGGAAACATCAAATTAATTTATGCAAAAACCATAGGTAATTCCCTGCATCAACTATGGGTTCAGGCAGACTCAGTGTTCATATCCGACATTCTGATCGAAACCGTAGAACCCATCCTCAGCACATTGCTTAACATGTATTCTAATAGCTTTCGCGACGGCGGCACCCCGTAGATTATCACGTAACCATTTCTCAGCATAAAATCCACGGCATTAGTTATGGGATGTATCGGTGCTGATGATGAAATGATAAAGGTGGTGATGTAGAAGGCTACATAAAGTACCGTTAGGATACCCACGGAGATCATATACCAGGTTCCAACTGATGCGTTTTGAGAGTTGATGCTATATTTCGGAAATTCCGCTGTGGTAGAAGTATCAAAGGATTCGGCGTTGTCACTCTTGTAGCCGTCACTCTTATAGCCATCCCTTTTAATTTCGATTTCCTCGTCGACGAATCTCGCCTTTAGCCCAACATGATTGAAATGCACTGTCAGAATCGGTATAAAGGTGTAAAGAAAGCAACATATTCCACACATTATCCAGAAGATGGCTTGTAATATTAAGACAAGCAAGGTCGGTTGACCGTCTGACGATGACAGTAAGAGACCGGCCGTTACCCAATGTATGATATTCAAGACCATTAATGAAAGAATGCTCGCTTTGCACAAGGGATCTTTCCAACTTGCATCGCGATAAAATTTACGACCCGTGAACAAAAGGCATGACCATATTATGGTTGCGTAAAGAGCAGAGATGGCCTCATATCCAACCCAAAAATAATTTTGCAGGATGGTGGGATTCATAACCCGAAGTAGGTTCATTGAGCACAGGCCTAAGTTGGCTAAGCTTGACAGAAGGCTATAGAAAAGAGACAATCGAGTCAGCAAAAGTTTCATCTTTACTTATTTACTTCCACCAATAAAAAGAGCAAATTAATTACCATGAAGCTCGTAGGTATGTGGGCGACGCAATAGTATAGTATAAGACCCAACAGCTACCCAAAAAGCTTATGACTACGCTCAAAAACGTAAATGACAATTCCACAATCTCCATCAATTCAAATTGTTAAGGAAAGATTCCTTGTGAGATTTGTTTTAAAAAAAAAAAGAGAAAAATCTTTGGATGGAAAGAGTCGACGCTGGCAGAAAATGTTGAATCACGAAAAGAACAGGCTCATGTCGCGTTTATAATTAGTGCAGTGTCTCCACTGGGGGTGCTTGTATTCGGTTCTTAAGCAATGTTGAAAGTCAAATTACCTGTGATACTTGTGATACGCATTATTTTTTTTCCCTTAATGCACTGATAAGCCGCTTTGGGATATTTTAATATACTTTTTTTTTTATCGAACGAATAGAAGCAGCTCGCCCGTCACGCCAAACCCTTATCAGTGAGGAGATGTTTGTTGTTATTTTCCGGTCCCAAATGTATGTCGGGTCAAATACAATTTCATTTAAAGCTGCACATCGCATTGATTTATGTTAATTTACAGTAATGTGAGATTGTCGGTACATTTTTGTTAAATCTTCACTCAGCGAAAATGCGTTATCTTATCTTTTGTTTTAGAAAATGTTCCATTGTGCATCAGTGTCTCTAGCATTTGCAGCAGTGAAACCTCGGTGGTGTTTTCATGCCTCAAAATATTGCAGCCAGAACCTACCAGGATGAAAGCTGTCTAATTACATTAACCTTTCTACCTGTGCAAGGAATGCGCAGTTTCATTACCCAAGTAACTTATCACCACTCTCTTTTACCAAAGAATTCCTTCATACAATGACCAGATTAACAGCGAAACCACTTCCTATCGATCCCATAACACGTAAGGCCACGGCACTTAATTTGCTTAGTTTCGCTCGGCCTCACATGCGAGGACTTCACTGTTCATGGATTTCTTTCCTTACCGCATTCACTGGCTGGTTTTCGGTGGTTCCTTTACTTCCCACCATTCGAAATGATTTGGGATTAACTGACGAACAGATTGGCGATAGTAATATTGCTTCGGTGTCCTCCACGATCATTTTCCGTGTATTTTTCGGTCTTATGTGCGATAGACTGGGTCCTAAGCGTGTAATGTCCTCGGTACTTATTCTTGGTGCCATACCAACTGCCCTTGCCGGTTTGGTGCAAAATGGTACTAGCTTAATCGTTGTCCGATTCTTTATTGGACTTCTCGGTTCATCCTTTGTGTCTTGTCAATTCTGGACCACTCAGATGTTCAATTCCAACGCCGTCGGAACTGCCAACGCTTTTGCCGCCGGGTGGGGTAACATGGGCGGCGGTCTCACCTACTTGGTCATGCCTTTGGTGTTTGATTCCTTTATCAAGGTTTTCCCCGCCAATGTCGCTTGGCGTATCGCCATGGTTGTTCCTGCTTGCCTTTGTTTCTTCGTTGGCGTGTTGATCCTATATATATCTGACGACTGTCCAGAAGGAGAGTGGTCTCGGCGTGGTCTTCCTACAGTACTCGTGGATGAGATTGATGACGACGAAAAGGTATCCGGCGTAAGCATCGATCAAAAACGAAACACTGTAAGAGTCCACCAAATACCCACCTTCGTTCACTACCTTCTTGTACTCATCAACCCAAATGTTATTCTGATGATGATAATGTACGCGTGCAGTTTCGGTGTTGAGATAGCCGTCGATAATATCATCGGTGGATTCTTCTATACTCATTTTGGACTTTCTCAAACTTTCTCTGGATTAATTGGTTCCATCTTTGGAATGTTGAATATTTTCTCTCGTGCCAGCGGTGGTCTTATGTCTGATTATCTCAATCATAAATTTGGGGTTCGCGGTCGGTTGTTTGGACAATTCGTATGTTTCTTCCTCCAAGGTGTACTTTTCATTCTCTTCAAATACACAAGTTCGACTTTGTCGGGATCCATCATTGTCATGATCATCATCTCCTACTTTACTCAGGTGAGAATAACTTAATCTCTCATGCACAATGATAATAGGCCTCGTGTATTAATTACAATATTCATTTCTTTATTGAAAACGCAGGCTTGTTGTGGTACATCTTTTGCGATCGTTCCCTATTTGGATCCGGCTGCTGTTGGCATAGTTTCAGGGTTGGTGGGGTCGGGCGGTAACATTGGTGGATTGATATTTGCCGCCATATTCAAAGCTTTCACTCGTGACATTCTAAACGGATTTATGGTAATAGGATTGATCGTGACTGCATCTTCATTCCTACCATTCTTGATGAGCATCAATGGTCGAACGATGATCTTTGGAAATCTCAAGAGAAACTTTTGATGAATTTGTATGCTGGTTTACAGTTCGCGCCACAAATATCCGGAATTCGGTTTTAATTTATCAATCCCCGTTTCACAAAGAGTAACAATTCATTTTTTTTTTCAAAATAACTTTAATTCCTTTTCAATACTCAAACGTAATTTATTGTCAACCTGATATAGTAATGTAAATCTCGGCATATCTTTTGTTTTTTCTCTCTAAAAAATGTCCACGGCATAAATTAATCGATCACCTTGTTAAAATACTGTACGTCGCTCGTTTGATCATGAGCGAATTACAATGACGAGATTTACACATTAATTTAAATACATGGTAAAATATACTAAATAATCCGAAATAAATAATCATTTTAAGCAATCACGGAAATTCGTCAATGCTACGTACGCTTTCAGCCAATTTCATGTAGTTGAAAACAAAAATTCTACTGTAGAATATAAAATTCTATCATTTCATTTCATTTGAATATACTGTATTAAATGGGTAAAACGGGTAAATTTTTATTATTCATACATGCCCGTCGTTACAAGAAAGTGGCATTCTTTATTCCATTTCGATTTATACATTTTTGATTTTTTAAAATACAAACATTCTCGTCACCGTTCTTATCGCGATACTGTATACTCTTGACTTATTGTGAAAAAATTTAAAAGAAAAAATTTTTTTTTTTGTAATTAAATTAGTTCCATATAATGTATTTATACAGTATACAAATTCTTAAATAATTCTAGAGTAGAAAATTTATTTGTTTAATTAATTATACGAAAATGAGTTCGTTATGATCATATAATGTATAATGTATATTATGGATTTTATAAGAAAAAAAAAATAATAATTAGAGATTGTGTTTATTTTTTTTTATTCAAACAAATTTTTTTTAACTTGGGCAAGGTATTGTCAGAGGGTAAAAATCGTGACGTGATCCCAGTCACGTGATTAGTCGTCGCGATAGTGCTGCGAAGGACCCGTTCCGATCATGGTACTCAAGGTGGTATGAAGGGAAATATAAGCAAACGTGATGGGAAATAAATAATTAAAGTAGTAGTAGAATAGCGTGTTGGAGAATTAGGTAATGAAGAGAGATGTAAAAACGATTAGATAATATGAAATAATTGTGATTGAGTATTATGTAATTAGGGAGAATTGTGAGAAGACATTAGATAATCGATATTACCTTTACTTTTTAGAAATGTAAAAACCGTCCCAACTAAGATGTATAAAAAGAGGGAAGTAGAAAGTAAATAAAGGGGGAGAGAGATTGATTAATTGACCAATTGATTGAATTATTTTTTACTCGACCAAATCGTACACGCCTCATATTTTCGCTAAGACCCCTTACCTCATCAACGGTTACGCGACGTTCTGTCACAGTATATAAAAAATATTATTAAAATTAAAACAATAATAACAATAATTTTTTTTTATTTTTTTTACTGAAAAATCAAAAATCAATTAAAAAATTGGATATTAATAAATTGACAGTTTTTAAAATTCTTAAAAGATTTTAATATTGAAAAAATTTAAATGTTACAATTAAAAATATAAAAAAATATTTTTATAGAAATGAAAAAAGCAATAATAATTTAAGTAAATAAATAAGTTATTATATAACAACTTATTTCATTAAAGTTTTATTTCAAATATATATATATATACTGTATATATAATTAATCAAAAAACTAAATATTAAAATTTTTAATATTTCAAATAAATGATTTATTAAATTTAAAAATAAAAATAATTCCAATATATATAAATAATTATTTTTAAAGATGAATTGAAATCTTTTAAATAATATAATTGTACTTCTTAAAATAATATTACGTATATACATATTGTTTAAAAATAAAAGTAAAAATTAAAAAACACATTTTTTATTTTTATTCTCTTTGAAAATAAATACTTATATAAATAAAAAAATATTTCAATTAAACAAATTTTACAATTTAAAATTGAATACTTTTAAAAAACATTTTTTAATAAACATATTTAATTACAATAAAACTATATTTTTAAAAATTAAAATTTTGCTTATAAATTAATAGTTAAAAAAATATTGAAAAAAAAATATACTAAAATTATAATAATCTATAATACAAATAAAAATTATTTTTTTTTCTGGTAAATAAATATCATTTTTTTATTTGATTTGTATATTTAAAAAGTATATATCATGAAAAAAACAATATCTCTTACATGCAATAACTGCTAACTTGTCTACACTATCTATACTTAGCTAATATTGAAAAAAAATTTAAAACAATATTGTATGCTAAATATAGCTAAGAGTAACAGTTATGCTTATTTATACAGAAAATTTGATAGGATATAGTAAATAAAAAGTAAAACAAAAATAAGATGAAAAAGAAAATACATTAGACAAGTATAAATATAATAAAAACTGATTATAAAATAAAGAAGATTTATTGAATACACTACTCTAGTAGTTCCACTCTTATAAAGCATATGTTGATATACTTTCTGAATAGCCAAACTACTTTTCAAAATATATAATAATGTTGATAATATAAATTCTTGATAGCTGGTAATACATGATAGTAGTAATTGATTAATAGTAGTATTAGTAGTAATTTTGTTATTGTTTGTGTGGTAGTTAATTAGATAAGATATAGGTTGATTGATATGAGGCTACTGTTAATATGAGCCATTCCCAGGTTACTGTTTAAAAAGAACAAAAATGTTAAAAAGATTTTTTGATAATCATTTGAACTTGTTGACTATTATTTTGTAATAATAATATGTTGTTATTGTTTTTGGATTGGTATTTAATAGGACATAACTATTGTTTTAATGTTTATTAATAAAAAAAAATTATGTAATTGTATGATTTTTATTTTTGAAGTTGGTTATGTTAATCTTTGATAAATATAATAAATGTGTTTTAATGTTTAATAAGATATAATTAATCATAACTAAAATATTAATTAGTTACCAGAAATAAGCTAATTATGGTTTTTTGGTGAAAAGTTTTTTGAAAAAGATTTTTGTATTTTTTATAATACAGTATAATGTATTAAACAATATTGAAAGTTATGTTTTATATATATTACTGGTTTCTCAAGTTAACAATATACACAGTTTTGATATAAAGTTTTATGTTTTATATTAAAAAAAGATTCTCTAGGAGAAGAAAAAAAATATTTAAAAGTATTTGAATAAGAAGTAAAAATAGAAAAAGCTCCAAGGAAAATCTATAAAGAAATAATTGTCACGAACCTTTTTTTATACAATTTAAAAAGAAAGCAAGGTTCCCAAACTTGTTTTTTCTTGACCAAAGGTTCCATCTCAATACACTAGTATATTTCTTTGGTTTTTTTGAGACTTTTATAGTGAAGATATAAAGGACTTATAGGTATTGAGAAGCAAAAATAATATTTTTTTCTTTAATTTTTAAAAAGTTATTATAAAAAAAAATTTTTAAGAAAAATGTTATATATAAAAAAGAGTTTTTTTTTACAAATAAAAATTATTATTATTATTATTTATATATAATAAATATAAAATATTAATTATACTATAAAAAATTAATAATACTTAAATAAAAAAATTATTTTTACTTATTATTTAATTTTATTTCTTAAATTATAATATAAACAAATTTGTCTATATAATTAAAATTTTAAAAAAATTTTAAATATTAATTTTTATAATTTATTTATATTATAAAAAATATGGTTTAAGATTTTCTTAATTGATTTTATTAAATAAAAAATTGAAAATTTATTGAAAATAGAAAAAAAAAAACTCTTCCCGACAATCAATTTTTTACTTAAAAATTTCCTTATTTGGTAACAAACTTTTTCAAGAAAC